AAAACTGATCGGCAAGCAATCTTGATTTTTTTACAAAATTTTATCCGTCGTCGACTACCCAAAAGTTTTTGTGCGTTCTAAGTATATACACTAACGAATGCCCTCGTTGGTTAGAGCCGAATTTCGCTGCCTCACCTTGCGGGCGTCGCTTTCATAAGAAAGCTAGCGTGCGTGGCTTTATGCAAATCATACAATTTGCTGCAGGGTTGCTGGATAATGTAGTGTACGGGTCAAAAGGCACAGCTACTTGCATATTGCCGCATGTGACAATATGTATAGTTCTTGACGCGGTACCTAATCAAATTTTCACGAATGTATATGGTCGATTCTCTGTGAAATCGAATGGTTGTAACATTTTATTTTCAATTCGCATAAAAAACTTTTTTTTTTTTCATTTATGAATATCCCCAATTCGAATTTGGGGATAAAGTGTGAAGCTTTTATCGAAATTTTTTGTTTGCTCCAAAAAATGCTTCAAGTTTTTTTTTATCTTAAATTATCATTTTTATTCTATATTTATCAGGCACACTATTGTTGAAATACACTTTCAATCGTCATTTCTAATTTTCAAAACTGAATGATATAAAATCAATAGTTTTTTTCAAAACTGTGATTGTTTTATATACATTTATTTTTCCTTTGCCACTTACGGAATTTTTACAAATAAAGATACTCGCCATCTAATGGTGGAGACTTGTAACATAAGTGAACCAGTAAAATCGCTAAAAGCAAGTCAAGTAATGGCAATATATTTTAAAACATTTTAAATATTTTTTTCTTCTTTGGTCATAGGTCATAGACCATGATTAATGCTGAACATTTCTACCAGGGTCTTGATTACTACTATATAAAAAAATTACTCAGCTCAATTGTGAGTAACTTTAGGAGTAAAGCACTACAACGGTTTTTTCTGTAATTTTTTAAACTTTTGGAAAAAATCCTGTGAAAGGTTTTGAGCGCTTTGCGAGCTTGCTACTGTACTGGAAAAATAAAGCTCAAAAACGAATGAGGTTTGACCCAACTTTCTTTACCAAAAAATTTACACAGCTTCCTTACAATGTCAACTAATATCTTCTAACTATTTTTTATAAGCTTTTTTAGTCTAACACTCACGGAAAAGCCAAGAATATCGAAGAAGGTAAAAAAGTCAAAAAAGAGACAAAATAGCATTGAATAGCAAAAAATAGACGGTTCAAAAAATTATATTCAGATTTCGAGACTTATGGTAAGACATTGTTAGCAAGTTTTTCATGGCAAAAGTAAAACTTTCAGACCATTCGATTTGACCGAGAGTCGGTAATATATAATGTACACGCGAAAATACCTATAGTTCGTTTATTATAAGCGTTGCTTGTTTAATTGAATTAGAATTTATCATGCTCACAGTACAATAACATATGATAAAATGAAAAATAATTTATGTGGTGATCGTATGGCTGAGTTTGCTCTCGGTTTACACGTGAGGCTAACGCTACTAAACACAATATTATTGCTAAATTTAAAACAACGAACTTATGTCTGCGTATTAACGTGAAAAGCGAACGATTTTTTGTACGCGATTAATAAATAATATAAGCTAGCCATACCGGCTCCACATGGCTATAATATCGCGTCTGCTCATTTTGCGTAATTAGCACTCGCAGATTTTAGTTTTTTCATTCCTCGTCGAGTGCATGCACGAAGTTCCCTAGACTAGATGGTTCATTAAGTTGATAGAATTTCCTGTCGTGACAGTACTGTACACAACTCCGTAACGCAATTCTCGAACATTCTCGAATATTTTGCACTGTGCCGTGCCAGTAGCTCGGCGTACATACGTTATAACGTTTTTGCGAATTTAGCTATACTGGCAAACTCGCGTGCTCGCCGCAGTGTCCCTCGCTGCATTGAAACTCCGCCATTCAGGCTACACGCTCGTACTCTAATGTAAAGTATCAATTACCAAGCATGACTTTTCCCGTTTAGGATCTATTAACCGGGCGCATGATATTCTATTGAATTCAACGCTATTAACGAAGCAAAGCAGTGAAACAAATACAATAGACCACTGCCATCAGTTTTTCGATTTTTACTTCAAGTGGAATCGGCAATGGCGAATCTAAAACTTAATCTTTTCTGGTTAGTACGTTGATTCTTTTATTCCTTTGTCTTCGATTCTCAAGTTCTGCACCGAGAGATCGACTTTTCCCATTCCTAGCATTTTTTCTCTCTCGGCGTTCGACCGCTCGATGAGGTATTAACTCACTGTCCACTTCGAAGAATCTCGACTTTCTACAAGATTTTACTGCTCTTAGTATGAATCCTCTTTTTTCGCAATGCCCTTTGTAATCCATCAAAAGATTAACCCAAAAAGTTTTTTCAGCGAGTGAAAGTATTGAAAAGTGCTGAGAAAATTTTTTCTTAACTAGAACTTTTGTTGTATTTTTTTTATTTTGAGTTTTACTTTTCTGTTACGAATAAATCGAATTCAACAACTAAATATGATTTTTCAAACTTGATACTAATTGATACTTCGTGATAGAATAATCAATACTTGTAATTTATTTATTGAAATTCAATAGTAACTTTTCATTGATTGCATGTTAAAAGTAATGAATTGTTTGAGTGCGCACACATCTTAGTTTTCGCATATTTATAAAGTAGTATATAGGCACATCCACCAATTACGAATAGAAATTGATTTTGCGCAATATGATCACAACGTGCATATCGGTTTGACCTTATAAAATACGCGTCATTTTTAATTTGGAATTTCTTCTTTATTTGTCCAAACAATATAAATAAAATTCATCCGAGCTTTAATCCGACTCAGATTAGACGAGCTATGCTGTTGCTTTTCATTATCAATTAGCGAAACTCGTCACACGTACGTCTCTCGGTTACATTTTCAATGCTTGTTCGTTGACTCGGCACAAGCCAACAAAAACTACATAGCAGTAGACTAAATTCGTTTTTTGCTTTTCAACTTAATCTCCACTATTAAATTTCGACGACAAGTAATAACAGTAATAGCAGTATGCTCATAACTTTTTATTAAAATTTTAATTTGCGACTACGGCTTAAATATTTCATAAAATCGCATTCTGAAATTCAGAAATGCACAATTTTTTGAATTGCACTGCACTGTCCAGCGAAATTAGTTGACCCAAAAAAATTCAATATTTATGGCAACGGCAATCATGGCTTCATAAATAAATTCAATATAACAAAACCTGCAATAATAACCTTAATAATAAGTCCCATAATAGAGATTTTAATAGAAAAAGGGTTTTTATTTTATTTTATATTAATATTAAATGTTTCGTATAAATAATATTGTTGAAATAAAAAGTTTAACTGCTGATAATTTTTCATTCAGGGCCCAAGCATGAGTTTACATTATTTGTTCATATTTTGCTTCAAATATTTTTCCATTTTTTAACGCTCCACCACTTTAATACTGACAAGTAAATTCATTATAACGTGCTACTTTGTATAAAGAAGTACATTAACGCGCCTGCGACAAAATCCAATTGCAGCGCTACACCGTCGTAAATGAAAATAGCTTTGTAAATACACTTGAAGCATGTATTGACACAGGCTGCATGTTTTTCCAAGCGTTATTTTTCTCGCAGAAGTGCCTTAAACAACGGGAACTGTGAAATGATAAAAAAACCGCGTTTTCCGGAACTTCTGTGTTTTGTCCATTTTATTCATTACCTCATGTATTACTTGGATTAATCAAGAACAACGGATGTATGGCCAATTAAACAGTTTTTTCTACATGTATCGATAAAATATTAAAATATTTAGAGGCAGTTCATTTGCACTTGAAAATACAGTGTTTTTGCTAGCATATTCAATTAAAACTGAACAATCACCAATATCAATATATTCGTTCATGAAGAAAAAGAAATCAAACTCTTTTAGTTATATTTTCAAACCAAGTATTTCTAGGTCATGCCTGATACAACATAAGCAATCACTAAAAAAATATGTAAATAAATAAAAGAGTAAAAACATTGATCGTTAACAAGGTGTATCCTGATTCTACTTTTTGATACATCCAGCATCGTCTGCATAGTTGCTTACATCTAGGAGTATTTTGTTTTGGAAAAAGAATTTACGGGTCACGTAGTTGCAGTTTCTTGGAACGCCTCGAGGTAGTCACATAGAACGGAGATCTAGCCAGGCCAAGAAATGAAGAAAGGGGAAAGCTTTTTTATCTTCTGCCAACCTGTTTTTTTTATCCTCATTTTGTTTCTTGGCAGTATAACTTTTGTACCCATTCCTCCAAACTCACGTATAGGCCTAACTTTACTCTACATACTCATATGGTCGATTTTTGGTGAAATCGAACAAATAGCATACGAACAACGAAAAATGTCTGGAGCAATAATCGGTCGAAGCTAATAAACACGCTCATATATCCATAACTAAATGTTTGTTTATAGTTGATATGGAAAAAAAAGAAAATGTAGGAAAGAAATCTGCAACCAAAAAATTTCAAAAATTATAATAAATGCTTCCTTTAAGTTGCCTCATTCACCAAAATTATAATCAATAAATAAAAATGTATAAAAATGAGTTTTTGATAAAAAAAATTAATGAAGCGCAAAATTAGTTTACAAGTAGATATAAATATTGACCAAGGTACTTAAAAACTTCAAAAAATCTAAATTGGCTCTTATTTTAACCCAAAATGTTGCAATGATGACACAACTCGAATATTTTTCTTTGAAAATTATTCATATTAATTCAGTAAATATAAAACAGGGTGAGGTATGGATCCTCTAAAAATGAGTCAAAACTGCAGCAGAATACATTATATGGAATTTCTTTGACTTGAAGTAGTAACTCGGTTGCTCTTGTTTTCCTTGAGAAGTTTAGTGTGCGTACCTCTCTGCCAGTCTAAGAACGGGGAATTATTTTCTTAACAAACAAATATTTAAATATATATTTGCTGGTATTCGCACATATACATGGTAAGTTGATGCAGTTGCCGTTATTTATACTATGAAATGAACCACATCTTCTACGACTGGAAAAAGGAGAGGCAGAGTAAGCGCTTGCACTATGCTTATTTTCCGCACCGTTCGCTGTGGGACGATGATTCGAAGGAAGTGCTACAGAGCTCGGATGTATACCCAAGCGTTTAAAAGAGCTCAATTAAGAAACCAAATGAATAGAGCCGCGGAACATTACGACTCGCGGTATGCAAGCGGCGGCTGTTGCTGCTGCTGCTGCTGCTCAGAAAAGAGAACTAGCTCGCGAAGAAAAAGCTGCAACGAAAAAAGCTTTACACTGTGACATCGCGTCGTCTTTGAAAGCCAGCTCGAATCCAGCTTCAAGCGCTGCACCGACTGCAAAAAGTTTTCAGCTTTGTCTGTCTTTTTCGCGTATTCTCGTTGCCCCGCTCGCGCGCATCTGCTGACCAAAATAAGAAAAAAAGGCTGTGTAAGCAGACGATGCGATTATGCTGCAGTCCAGGGCTTTATATAATAATATTATCATTCTGCCGAGTTTCTTTTTAGTTTCACGGAATGATGCCAAGAACTGCGAGTGGCACCAGCCGATATCCCTTCGAGCCGTCCTCCCCGCCGTCGATTCAAATTTACTCGCTCGTGAGCGAATCATCAAAAGACATTCGCAGATTACTCCCTTTGATCCAAGCGCCTGGGATCATTTGAGCTTTCGGAACGCGAAATTGACTTGCATTCCGCGAAGCAATGATGACACTCTTTTTTCCCTCTTTTGTTGCAGGTGTTGAATGTTTAAAAAATGTCAAGCTCGAAGTCAGTCCTCAGGCGGTGGAACAAGGCCACGAAGCCACCCTGAGATGTCACTACGAACTCGAAGAGGCGCCCCTTTACTCGCTCAAATATTATCGAGGCTCCTACGAGTTCTATAGGTATTCGCCCAACGAGAGGCCTCAGACGAAAATTTTCAATTTCACTTGGATCGAAGTTGACGTGAGTAATTTATGCTCCATGTACTCGGCCTTATGGCATTTTTCAACGTTTTTGACTACTATTTGCAAAAACATATTTCAGTCAAACAAATCCGACGAAAGGCAGGTGACGATTAAAAATGTAGATTTTCTACTATCTGGGAATTTCAGCTGAGTGACAACTGACGCTCCGACTTTTTCGACAGCGACCAGCACCAAAATCCACACTGTTGTTTGTAAACTTTATAATTTCACTTCTATGTTTCAATCATCTACAAAAAAACGAAAGTGCAATTATAAACCAGAAGGCAGAATATACATTACCTCCAATTGCAGCATGCCTTTATCGAAACCTCAAACTCAGCTCTTTTGTACACTAAACAACGACATGGTAAGAAGAAAAAAAGATGTAGTGGTACTTTACGATTGAACTTATTCAATTCAAAAATTTATCCAATTACGATAAACTTTTCAAAATAATTTTCACTCATAACCAAAATTTTTCAATTATTTATATTATTATCTATATTTATATTATTAATATATTTCAATCAATTCAAAATACATCAACATTTTTCGCATTGAATTTTTCGCAAAATACATTAACATTTTATTTCATTTTATTCCATAATATATAGAAATGTGCATAACAATAAACTATAAACACAAAGGTTTGTCTAAAAACAAAAAGTTTGTCTTTATCGAAATTGAAACGGCTAAAAAAATTTTTTTTCATATTATTTTTTTCACTCAGGCAAAAAATAGTAGCCGGTGAATGCATACGCACTCTATTAGCTTACCATACCAATTGAAAATATTTCCAACAAGCCTTATATCAATCATAAAAATTCAATAAAAATATAACTAATTTAATGTGATAAGAATCATAGATAATCGATAAGTTCTTATTATTTGAACACTAATGATCACTGTGTAATCAAATCAGCATCAAAAGTACATCCAACTTTTTAAAGTATTATCGCAAGGTCTTTATTAGACTTTTAATTAAAAGAGTTGGTTTAGCTTTTTTTCCTACAAAATGTAATTTTATGTTTTTAAAAAATCAAATAATACCCTTCAGTAGCTCCTGGCAACGAGAAAGATAACTTGAATATGGCTAAAGAAAAAAAATGAACAGAAAAAATTATGTTTCCTTTGATGTTAAGTTTTGTAAATAGCTGATATTTTTGGATCAGACACTCTTTTTCTTTCGCAATAGTACAGCAGTATTTCTATTTTTCACGTTACAGAGAATAAAATTGAAATATACAAGGGTGGAAAATACTAAGGTTTAAAGAATACATCTTCAATTGTAATGCCTGTGAATAGAGCTTTCCTCCCGAACAGTCTCGTAAGTTGTGAGTATCGGACGTTCTATACGAATTCTTGCAGACAGTTCAGAGCTGACTCGGCTCCAAAAATCGTAGTTCGTGCGATGACGTCTCCTCGCGCAACTCGATTCGATAATTTATTGCGATGCAACTCCCATAAATGTAAACACCGGGCTATGCCAAATACACATAAACGCGTGGTCGAAAGTTCGAAAAGAGCGTCGTGACGTTTCAGAAAATATATTAACTCACACGAATCTCCGGAAACAAAATTCGCATGTTACGTAAACACGAATACGTAGTACTTTTTGTAGGAGCCACTCTTGGAAATAAAGTGAAGTGATTTGACGCGAATTTATTGTAAAAGTTCGAAGTTTAGGAAGTTTAATCAGAATTTTCAATTTTCAGTCTACTATGATTAAATTTTTATAACAGTACCGATTACGTCGTGTACAAATACTATCATGAAGATGAACGCGGAAACGTTATTCCATCAACTTAGACAGGCGTGTAACAGCATAAATCGAAAAAAACGTGTCAATTTATTCGTTGCTCCTCCAGCCCTATTCTCTCACAGGCGTCTGATTTTTTAGTCCTATTTCCTCCTTGGATCTCGGAAACGAGAGATCTCGAGCTGCTCCGTGCATACTTTCCCGATCGTTTCTTCTTTTTCGTCATAGCTAGAGCAGCTGCTCCGGCTTCCAACATTGATTTTGTCCTTTTTTCTAGTCTACGCTTCGACTGCCGACTTCTCTTCTTTCGCTCTCGTCGCAAGCCTCGACCCGCTCACCTACACATAGAGGGTCTTTATGGCTTGCATCCCTCACGCTGATTTCAACTTTGCTCTCGTAATTTGACCGAACTTTTCACGCTCTCTTTCGCCCTCTGGCCCTCTTTCGAGCAAAAAATGTGTTTTCCACGACAGCTGTTACTTGCGATTGGGCTTACACACAAGTATCCAGCGAATATCATGTGTGGCCAACTTTTGCGATAGGAATTTTCGCCTCTTGAAAATCTTCCCAAGGCCCCATGTTGCTCGCCAGTTTATATTTGCTAATATAAGGAGCACAAGTGCAAGTGCTGCAGATTTGCACATGCAACGCCTAAAAACAAACTATGTATCAGAATAACGCGGGGTATCACAAAAGTACTGCGGCTCACTTTGTGCTCTATATTATCGAACGTGTTTCTACTATTGCTGAAACTTTGTACAACTCGCATCTATATTGAATCATCGTTGGAAACCCATATGTTGTTCCAAAAGATGCAGTTATTTTTTTCTTCTTTTTCTCATTGTGCAAGCTGGAACCAACTTTTTCAATAGTTTCTGTCTTGTAGAAGTATAATATTTTATATAACATCCGCTCAAGTATTGATTAATGATAAATTAAAAACTCGAAAATTTCCGAAAGTAAAACATAAGAAATAATTTTTTTAACTTTTAAGAATTTTTTTAATAATCACGATTAATTTTTTATTTTTGACCTACCTTTAATGATGCAGGATACATTTGCAGTCTATCTTGCTTATTTATTCAAGGGCACATGCCATGGTTTCGGCTACAATCTACATACTATGCGACATAAAATTTTATGCAGCTCATATCCGCGGCCGATCGTATAGGGAAAAGTCGGGCCACATTTATCGGACTGTTTAGCCGATACCAACACAGCCACACGACGTTCGCTGTTGCAGGGCCAAATTGTTTTTGTGGTATTTGGCTTCTTCGGTCTCGATTTTCTGTATCGATCTCACCTCGTTCCGGTGTCCTCGAATATTTTGCCAAACTGAAAAAAAAATCAAATATTTCCTATGCGCACGTGAAAATGTTCCGTGTTATTTTTTGAATGGCTGCGGCAGCTGAAAAATCGTCTAATATTTGAACGAGACACTGCGTGAATCTACCAAAAGTTGCCCTGATAATTTTAAATATTTTTACTATTGCCTCTGCATTACACTCTCCTCTCTAAATTGTCTATTTTCATTCGTAATGACGCAGATCAACGATGCTTACGTCAGACCTCTGACTTTTGATTCGAAGCGAGAAAAATCGAGGAAAAAGAATCGATAGAAAATAGTCTATAGAACTAATTTTTGAACAAATTGAATATCACAATGTTCGAATGACTTTGTTACACGAAGGGCAATAAAGAGATTCAAGTGCACGACTACAGAAGAGCAGTGGTATTTTTTTGTTTGTGTCAGCCGCATTGAGTGAATCGGCACTAGGAAATTGCTTGCGCTTGATTAGCTCCTCTGTTTTAGCCTCGCGACATTTACTGCATGCCTGGGCAGGGATTATACGTATATAGGAAGAATGAGAAGTGCACGCACAGGAGCTGGATACTTTTGCGTCGGCAGTTTTTAAATTGCCAGCATTTTTATCGCCATACACGCTATTTTTGTCGGCATATTTTCTACGACCATATAGTGCGAGATTGTCGGCTTAGCGAGCGCAATTTGTCGCAGTTAGTGCAGTCTTCTTTTGTGCTAAAAAACGAAAATGTTGGTCTCGACGCGTGCACTTTAGGTGTAATAAAACCTAGATTCATACATAAAACTCGTTTCAGTCTCTTGGACTATTTTTGTTGCTAAAAATAAACGCGTCTATACCTTTAAACATACCGTTTAATTAATTAATTTATAATCATACATGTATTTCGTAAAAACTGAAGTTTTGGTGCCATGAAAGAAAGTAATAGACCCTAGCAATTTAAATTATTTTCAAAGTTGATATCAAAATATTCAATTCATTACATAAATTATTCTTGTGACTCAATCATTTACAATTTCCCGCAATCAGAAAATGCATCTAGTCAATCACCATAGATTTTTAATTGGTCTAAAAGTGAAGCAATTAACATGTTAATACTTTCTCCAAAATAGTTTCCAAAAATTTAAAATCGTTGTTCATGAAAGAATAAATTTGTTTTGTTTACGTACACGATTAATTGTACGATAAATACTTCGAAATTATGTAAATATAATAGCACGTTGTTGATATTTTCAAATGTAGGCTATTGAATCATAAGTCTTTCTTGGTGTATGCTTTGATGATAATAAACTGAGAGAGAAAATTAAATTTATTTTCATATGTTTCTGAAAATAATATTTTCAAGCTTCTGACTCTAAAGAAATTAACCATCTAGTTGGTACAATAAAAAGTGTATTGTTTTCAAGAAAAAAATGCATTTTGTATAAATTCAAATTGTTTTGACAATGCTGTAAAAAATCATTTGCAGTCAAACTTGTAAAAACAAGTAACTGTTCATTACTCTCGAGAACGTTATTTCTGAAACGTCGACGCTCAGCGTGAGTTATCCATTTAAGGCTGCAGTGATACTTCAGACTTTTGCAGGTCCAGCAGAAAATGTCCCTCGCACAGACACGCACATGTGTGCAAGTTGAAGCCGCTATAGCACAAGTGCCTATTGCTTCTCGGTATATAGGGGGATAGGTAAGCAGCTTATCGATTGCGAGGCAATATCTTGAGACCAAACGGTGCCCCTCAGCAGCATCGGCTGCCACTGACTGCTCTATGTGTTCTCGAAGAAACTTCTCCGCACCTAACTCTGACCATATTGTACGTCGAGCGTGTGTGCAGATGCACGCTTGAATTTCATACGAAGCGCTTCGTGTGTCTCGCGACTCTGTGTCTCGTGGAACTGGAAATTCGTTCAATTATTCGCATACTCGGCGCGGACATGTAGTGGAATATGAGAGCGACTGCTGCAGCAAAGGTAAAATAATTACCTTGTAATAACTCGACGACGACGACGACGACGAGCAAACGCTCGTAAAAGCAAGGTGAGATGTGACTTTGGCAGTCACCCCTCGCGTTCTGTTGTCTGTAAACACGACAAAGCAGCGCGACTTCCAGGCGACGTATTATGTATAGACACACCCCGCTAGAACTCCCACGTGGATAATGAAAAGCTCCTTCGCTGCGGAATTTAACTAGATGTATCGTATTTCTGCCACTCCTGTGCACAGAGGCGTTTCGCTTTTACGCCCACCAAACCGCATTCAAATCGAGTATGTATATTCTACAGTTGAATTTGAGTTTTTAAGCATTTTTTGGAAGCTCATTTGATTAGTCATTATATTTTACGTAATGAAAAAGCTCTTTATAATGTTTCCAAAGGCAAACATAGAAATGTCATTGATCTGAATTTTTCGTTCATTTTCATAATTTAAAACTTAATGCTCTCACTGAAAGATGAATGGCATGACTAACTTAAAATGACCAAAAGCACCAGTGCAGGCCAATTACAAAAACTCCTGTCTCGACGACAATGGGAACACTCGGCCCAAATCGTCAACAAGCAATAGCCGCGAATTTTACGCGATGTTACGTGCATCTCGAGCTCGATCTACTGTCATTGATTGAAGACTTTACACATGTCACGTATGAGTCCCTCTGCCTGCAGTACGAGTGCAGCATTCGACTATTCTTGATAACAATGCGCGCGCACACGGAGCTACATTTTCTCATGGTGATCACGTATTGCTGTACTTTTGACACCTTTTGGCACACCCACACACGCACGCGGCACGTGAGTACATGAGTGCGCGTGGGTGTAGCCGTGCATGCGTGACACTTTTTCAGGGCGCGCGTCGAGGTAGCAATTTTTTTGGCTATCCGCTGATTTGATATACTCATTCGATAGAAAAGTTTTTTAGATATTGAAGTTTTTTGGGAAGTGGATGAAAAAAAAGGGCACGAAGAAAGACTGGATTCGAGATATATTGATGCGAAAGAAAGTCGCGCGCATAAATCTGAATGCTTTGAAGTCGCGTCATTCGAGATTCTTTTATAACGATTCATTACAGGCAGCCGCTGTGTGTAAACTCGGGGAAACTGCAAAACTTTAGATTGAAAAAAGATGTTTTTTTAAAGCAATAAAATTGTGCATTAAAATGATAAGCAGAAAAAGTTGGAAACAAATAACTCAAGGCTCCGGCATCTATTTATAGTTAAGACTACTCCATCAAAAAACAAATGCACGAGTTTATACTCTTGAAAATGGATTTCTCGTGTACATGCTCACTCTTTGCAGAGCCGAAAAGAACAAGAAAATGCTAAGAAATAAAACACTTTGCTCGTTTGAAAATCATATTCAATATTAAAACACTCGTCGACGAAATTTAAATCTCGGAATTATTTTGTTTATTATCTGCATCTCTCTCTCTCTATTTAGTAAAACAAAAATTCACCGTCAATTCAAATAGCTCTCCACGAAAAGGTAAAAAGTTAATTTAGCTGAGTCGTGGGCAAACTGAAATAGGAAAATGAGGCAACGAGCATGCACGTACTTAATTTTATGTAACGACGTAAATTACAAAGTTCCCAGCCGACCACGTAAACTAAGAAGAAGAACATTATTTTACATAATCATTCGTCCCGGACAAAACAAAACAAATGAAGAGGATTGCTGTGTTCGTACAGAAGCAACTACAATGACGATTAAAGTGCTTATTAAATTTGATTCTGAAGAATAATACGACTTGTTAAAAGTGTAGTAAAACTAGAATATCTATTAGATTTAGCAATAAAATAATACACCTCTGGCCCTTCCGTTCAGCTGCTCAGAGAAGCAAGTATAATATAAGATATTAAATTGTCAGATGCAATCTAAGTGCATTGTTTACAGCAACCAATTGCACTTGAAGCTATGCGCGTACATTGTACAATAAGATAAAGAAGTTCCAGCAGAAGAAATGGTAAAGAAAAAGAACGAGTCCGACGAGTGTATGCAGTATAATAGAGGCCAGATTCTTTTTTCTTTTCATTCACTTATTCCGATATCTACTTGCGTAGTAATTCAAACGGCGGGCTCTATACGGGGAACATTGTTTTCTCCCGAAAGAATAGCTCCCGTGGCCATTAATACGTCATCTCTTGGAGAGATGCCCAGGCTCGAATGTTGAATTGCCGTTGCCGCCAGCAGCATGCAGCTGCATCTCAGATAATTTGCAGATACGATAAGTTAGTCGGAGACTGTACTGTCTGCGCCAGGACTGGCCTATACACACACACAAGCACACCCATACACGTATTTGTACGCGAGCGCGGGAGAATTTTTCGCTGCACTTTTGCTCCGATGCCGAGATCCGATAATTCCTACTTGAATAAGGATACGCACTTGGCTCGTGCAAATAATTGTCAAGCTTCAAGCCCTTCTTGTGGTTTAACATGTCAACATGGATTTTTACATAATTATCAATTTAGTCGTACTTCAAGAGCTGAATGTGACGAAACTTCATAATATTTTCTATTCGTTAAAATTTCACAACTAAAATTATTTTAAACAGCAAGTTTCGCTATATTTCACCCTGGCGTAACGAATTAAACTTGTTAGGGGACATAAAAGTTGTGTGAGTGGAGCTTTATTAAAATTTTGTTTCGTAACGAGTTAAAGTCTACGAGTTGCGATTAAAAATTCGAAAATCCACAGGTGTCAGTTAAAAATCACTCCTTTGATTGTTTTTCTTTTCATGATTTATACGATACTAGTGTATATTGCTTAGTTTTACGTACAAATGTAGATCCACATACTCAACGTGGCACAGCGTCGATCTTAAAAGAATATTTTAATGTGAAATATATTTTCTGATGTATCATGAAAATTTGAAAATTTTGTTGATGAGAGAAAATCGACTAACTTTTCTCCTCATTCAAAACATCAATATTCTCTGAAACTTGATCTAGTTATTAAAAACAAATTTAAAAATAATCCAAGGAATTTTACAAATAATTTTACAACATTTAATCAATCGCTTCTCTATTGTCATATTTTTGTATAAAAGATGATGTCAAATTTGTTGTATAAAATAACACGTCATAAAGCATAAAAAATGTACACGTGAACGAGTCGGATGTAGATTACGATGAAGTGGTTTATGATCTAATCGTATTAAAAACGCGCATTTATATATAAAATATAACCAGGCAATTAATGATGTTATTAAATTGCATACGAAACAAAATTAAACTAATTCTTCTCAATCAAAAAACAATTATCCATTAAAATATGGTTATTACATTTTTTAGAGTCCAATAACAATCAAACTTAAATAATTCTAACAATCAAAATTTTAACAAAATAGACATTTAATTTTTATACCAAAATCTATATCTTGTCATTGCCTATGTTCACTAAAGTTGTTTCGTCAGCAGTTTATTTCTCGCCCTCTGTGATTGATTATTGGTTGTAAAAACTTATTTCTCATTTAATTTTTCTTTCGTTGCTACTCTAGTCTTCTTTCCTTGGTGGAGCTTGATTTTTATGGTCGTCTTTCTTCTCCGTCAACCACTTTATAATGTAATTAGCTGCATAATATCCCACTGCGGCAAATGAGAAACAGACAGCCGTTCTCCATATGAATACTACAAAATCTAAAAGTTCTTTATTCATTTTAGATAAAATCAGTAAACTTGTATCATACAAATTATGTCTTGTAATATAAAAATAAAATTTACTTGTAGTAGATAAACTACGAGTCTCTTCGATTTACTTTTTCTCTGAACAGAAGAATTCCGACACTATTTCTATTCGAATATATATCGTCTTCAAAATGATTTCTATGACAGAATGAGATATTTGTATTGCTCTCCATCTATTGATCATAGACTGAGATACAAAAACAATAATTTTATCACTGAACTAATTATATTTCCTAAATTTTTGAATGCGTTGATATTAAGAATGACCAAATTTTACCTCGCTTTTCCATGCAATTTTTTTCATGTTCTAGGCCTTGCAAACATTTTTCAAACACCTATTTTTACGAAAAATTAGATGCATAATAGAAGAATTGTAGTTGATTGAAAAAACAAAACGTAAAATTTTGTGAAAAAATTAACTTCAGAAATTTTTTGGTTGTAGCCCGGTGAAAAACGTATGATCTTATCCGTATCAGAAATGATCATGAGTGTATAATTATCTCTGGGAACTTTCACAGAATTTTCGAATCCTCTTTTGTAAGACAATGAAAACTATGAAGTAAATTGTTTTTTAAAACTTAATTCATTTTTTTAACTCAAATGTTATTAAATTTTTAGAAAATACTTATAAGACAAAAAAGTCTTAGCATTCATAGGGGAAGATTCTCAACTTTGCCAAGAATTTTGGAATTAATTGTAGGAAATCGGATAACTTGTATTTTCTAGAATTTGAAAATACATCCAAGATCAAATTGCTGTAATAAAAGATTTTTCCTATTACGAATTATTAAAAAATCTAAAATAATTATTGGTTTCAGTGGCGACATGATTATTTATAATTTAATATATTTCAATCAAAATCGAAATACTATGTTGATTTCCGTTTATTCGCAAATACTTGAAACAAATCGAAAACTCTTAACCGTCTTAAGAGCATAATATCAATAAATAGTAAGTATAATAATATAGTAGTAAATTTATACATGTGTATGATTCTCCTTGTACCCGAAATTGATTTTCACATAATTTTAAGTCTTATTTTTTTTATCATGCTAGCTTTTAGTAAAATATTAAATTTATCTGTAAGTAGAGTACCTTTAAATTAAAAATTTAATAAAAAATGTTTTCGCATTATTGCATATAATTATTTTATAAAAATTTAGAATTTGAAAGAAAATACCGAGTAGTGACAAAAATTTCTCACGAGTACTAGCAGATCTAATCAGAAATTTCAAAAAAATGTATCTTAATAGAAACAAAATAAAATAAATAGAATATAATTCAGTTGAGGAATTAAAAATTTACTTGAAAAATTAAAAACATATATCTGTTTCTGTAAATGTTGCAAAAAGTTTATTTTATCACTCGAAATAAATTTAAGTCATTAATATAGGTTGCCAATAGATGGCAACCTATAACTGTTTCATCCAATAATAATAATGATGATATTCATTGAAAACGCTGTGTATTTAAGCAGATCACCGCTAATACTTATTTCTGTTTATTAAGGGACGCCGAAGCAGTAAGACTAGAGAATTTTCTTTTGACTATTTCAAAGTCAAAATGACTTTATTTACCAAGACTAATATCCTCGTGTTTCAATTGGGCGCAATTGTTGGTGGACTAATAGTTGCATTATTTGGTGAACTAATTCCAAACCCATTGAAAAGTGATGTCGGCAAAAAAAGTGTGGAAAACTCCGGATCGACTTCAGACGACGACGACAAGTCATTTCCGAATGCAATGTTCACGCTTCGAACAGGGCACGACTACTAAAACATGGTGATATCAAGGACAATATGTGACTGCTGCAAAAACTGACAAAATTTAAATTTTACCATTCGGACAGAAAGTATCATCATTGAAATCCAGTAACCTTGAATATAATTAGCCTTATCTGAACAAATATTGGCAATTTGAAGACTTTTTACACTCTGTAATGTATCATGTACCTAACACTTTCAAATGTACCTCACTAAGTCGTACCTATTTTTTTTATACTTCAAAAACTAGTTATTGTAAAACTATAAATAATTTCAGTTTTCCAGTCAATAAAATATCTTTTATTTAAATTTAACATTACTTTGTAACTGTTTATTAATCAAATTAAAATTATGTACATCATTAAGTTGACGTGGATTTTCAAGTATCATACATTTTTCATTCTTAACTCAGATGATATTTACAAATAATTTGAAAATATAATTGACTTTAATTCATCGATCAAGCCTTATCTACATACTTATCGAACTTTCCATCGCCTTATATCATTCGATTTAATAAATTTTTTTATTGGATAAATTTATTGGGTATTTATAAACTTCGTTTGTAACAGTCCAACGGGCATGATTATACTGACAAAATATAGTTTTTCTTTCTCATAAGAAACATATTACATTCATTTTTGTATTCATGAAAAGAATGTTTCATTTTTATACAATAATTAACCGTTATTTTGATTTTCGTTTAATGGTATTTTTAATATTATACATTACAAAAAACTTTACATGGATGCATGACATATTTATCTTCGTACAAAATTAATAATTAATTAAATAGATGAATAAATTATTGAAATTAAAATTAAATATTTGAATAAATATTAATTATATAAATAACATGATAAATAAACATAATGAAATAAAAATTAAGTAAATATCGAACAACGTCAATACTTCATAACAGAAAACTTGAAAGTTTTTTCGGTCAGTGATCGATAGAGTTTTTACAAAACTTTACTGGCACCTAAATTTCATTTATATTCTAATGCTTATGTCGTTGATACTATTTTGATTTACTGGTATTTTTTTCAACCGGGTGACAAAAAAATTGATAAGTAAAACTTACATATTCACTAGCCATCTTAAATAAGTACCTGATTCTGTACAATTAATTATCAGCAGAAGTAAATACGTACTCCATTAATACTGCAGCGATCCATTGGGTGTTCGGTGTTACATTGACTACCTCGAGCTTAGGAGAAGCAAAAGGAGGCCAAGTATCGTCAAATCGATGATCCTGTGACTCTGGTTGCATACACTGTCCGACCTGACTGTGGGCCAAGACAAATACGATTGTGAATTTAGTAAAGTTTTGCAAAAGACGCCTTGTAGGGTGCACGTTTACAAAGTTAAATTTGGAACGCGACGATAAATCGTGAGATGGTCGAAGCTGACTATGAAAGCGACTTAATCAGCTGGCGGTAGCGAGGCCGAGTGCAGTTAGCAAAGGACTCGAGACTCTAGTAGGGTTGTAAGACGCGTCGTCGTCGATGGCCGTATCTGAGCTATTGCCATTCTCGCGCCGGCTCGTTGGCAACAGTCATTAAAGAGGCTGAGCAAAAGTCGATAAGCCGCTTAGAGTAGCTTCCGGCGCGCTATGATGGCCCGTCCGTCTCTTGCATCTCGCCCGAAACTTGCATCTCGCTCATGCGAGCGACTGCCTCGTGTATAGTTTGGAGCTTTGGAAGCTTGGACGCGTCTCGCGAAACGATATCGTCGACGATCGGAATCGAGGACGAGCTGGAAAAATATTTTTTCAGCCAAACGGACTCACCTCGTTCGGGCACGGGTTCCCAAGGACTGGCGCCCAACTGAAGCTCGCTCCACTGCTCGTAGACGCCGGCGATCTTGACGACGCAGCGCAGACTCAACAGGCCACTCCGATAGTGGAAGGTCTGCAGGGGGATGCTCAGCTCGATGGCTTGGCTCGTTTCGGCGGGGTACCTGTGCAGCTGCTGGACTCGATCGGTCGTTCCCACGGACCTGGCCATCGATGCGCCGCTGTGTTTCTGGCCTCGCTGCAGCTTCTTTTCGCGACTCACGGGGCTGACGTAGGCCTCGCTGACCTGCGGCAAAGATTCACAGTTTCGATCGACTTCCCAACTTCCGGGGGATTAAACTAAATGAACTCTTGTCTCGACGGCAATCGTCCTACACTTGTGGCTATGAAAACTGAATCGCTCCGAGACTCGTGTCCTTTGGCACAAAAGCTCAAAGTTTTCCATCCTAGCTCGATAAGAGTCGCTGAAAGAAGCCAACGCGCAAAGGAAAGATGAATGCAGTGCCAGAGAGAAAAGGAATTAGAGAAAAAGAGTAGCTCCGTAGCTGCTGCACCCTCTACAGCCCGAGCTCGCGTGCCGCTGCCGCCACTGCTGCTCTCCATTAACGTCTTTTGTGTCGCTCGACGCCGAGTCGCGTTCGCGCGCCTGACGGGTAACGACGCTCCTACAAAAAGAAAGACAGAAACTACCTCATCCTCTTCTTCTTGTTTACTCTCCTTCTGACAAAAATTAATGAGCTGGCTTGCTATCTAATATTATAATTATTGTCAGTTGATCTTATCTTTTGAAGAAAAATTTACTAGTATATCTATACGTGCAATTTATATTCTCTTATAACCGAATTTAATAGAAACATTTTATAAAAGATTTGGTATAAAAATCTTATCTTAAAAAAAACAAAATATTAAAAAAAAAAATTAAAAATAAAAAGTTTGAGGGAACCTAATTCTCTACATGTTGTATCTCTGACTACAGTAATAATATATCTTTATTTTTGCCTCTATTCCAAGTTGTATTCATATTTTCACAGCTTTACTACGTTTATTCATTTTATGCTCACTTATAAGCATAAATATTACTGGGGTGGCAAAATATGTCGACCACGAAAACAATTTATGATGCACAACTGTACCCTAGCATGAAAAGCATGTGGAATATGTGACTATTGTTGCTTCTAGGACGACCGCAACCAATTTTATGTAAAGTCGTTTAAGTACATACGTTGTAGTACGATGTTAATATTCATAAGTAATAATCAATATGATAAAAAAGGTATCGTGTAGAAAAGGCGATAACACGATGATTGATTTCGATAAGGTGTGATTTTAGGTAAAATTTTTTAAGAATAAAAAGAAGGCTGAACATTAATTAAGTAAGTACGATAAACGATAGAAAAGTTAGCAATTAATTCGCTAAGTGAGTCGCCATAGAATTTCACGAAACGAACGTCATGATGGCCTATCTGCAGCAGCTATCGGGAAGGCGACTGTGTCTTTGAGAGGATTGCCGAGCGACGAGTCTCTATCTCACGCCGGTGTTTTCTCCTGTTTCCCACACACAGTCGCAACGAAACGAAAAAGGGACGTGACAGCAGTCGTTGGGAGCGGCCGCGTCGCTGGAATAATTGTCAGCGAACACCTTGCGTGTCTCTTGGCATGAGTTTCTCGCGGACGAAACAAAGAGCCAAATGCAATTTCCTCCCTTCATCCACCAAGTTATCGAATATACGGGTTAAGTCACATTTTTCGTAGTGAGACAAGCTTGTTAAAGTTTAAAAATCACGAATCTTAATAAAGTTGTTATACAGCTTATAAACGTTGATCGCCTGTTACCTTGTAAATGTGTTACTCTTTGACTTTACTAGCATTACAATTTTCTGTAAAAAATTTGAGCGGAATGTCTGGATAGACTGGTAGTGGATAAAATATATGCCATAAAACTCGCTAGGTATTCTTTCCAGGTAAGCGTGTATAGAATAAACGTTTGGGTGGATGAGCAACAAACATAAAATGCCTTAAACCAGCAATGAAAAAGAAGGCGAGGCAACGAAATCTCTAAGGTTATATAAGAATGGAGCAAACGAAGCTCAGCTGAGAAATAAAGAATCTAAAATTCACATTACTCTGGGTAGAGACGCGTTTCTAGCTGTTCAAATACAGCTCTGCGTAGTCTCTTTTCTGAAAACGTTGCCACATTTGCACTAAATCGGAACGCAGTATTGTTTCATAGGCAAAGTTTCGACGCAACGGTGAAATCAGCAACACAGCGGCATAACTACCAGCTAGTTGGCAACTCAATTGGAGGAACACGGGAAGAAAAGCCAATGACGATTTGACAAAGTTTATACGTATTATTGCACTTTGAAAACCATACGATAAAATTAGCTCAAGCCACGTGTATAATTGCTTTGCAAGTTATGTAGCTGTACATGCCGCAGCACATTCTGTGCCATTTCTGCGGATGTGTGTACGTGTGCGTTGCGGCAGGTCGATGGAAATTTCGATTCGACTTTGCGCTGCAGCTTTTAATTTAATTGGTTTTGTCCTTTGCACATGTTTATTTAACTACAGCCAAGTATACTAGAAAATGATTAGAAAAGAAATTTGTATTTTCATAATTTATGAAAATTGATAGAAAAACTAAGTCATTACCCGATAAAACATTATTAAAGCATCTAGCATTCAATGTACCCTTTTTTGTCATTTTTTTCTCGTTTCATATAAACCATATTCATTGGCTTTGATTAACTATATTGCAACATTCATCGAAGTTTCCTTCGATTCCTACAATTTTGAAAAAACCAATAATCCGGTGGGTAAAAGTGAAGTAAGATTTATTGCTCCAAGTACAATGGCTAGACTCTCAATTTTCCGAGATAAGGTCAATCGAGACCTTATTCTCAAACTCGAACATCATCCAGTCCATAACTTTTTCTACTGCTCTCCCCTCTCAAGCACTCGGTATCGATGAGGTAAATGCGTGTGCGGATTTACGTGCGTATAGATATTGTACACACAAATGCACGCGTACAAACAGTCAAGATTTATGCGAGCAAATATGTTTTCCGATACGTCACGAATCGTTTTCAACTTGGCCCGCGCTCGTTTATGTGTTTGCAACTGCAGCAGCTCCAGTGCGCGCGCGCTATAAATTACCAATTCAAACCGGAATCATGAAAGCTCATGGACCTGAAAGACCCGCGCCCCGCCGCCATCGCGCTGCTCCTGCTGCTATTGCAATTTTTTACCTTACCCCTGTGTCAACGGCTCGTAGGATATGTGGAGTGCATTGAATTTTTAATTACTACTAACGCAGACTTGTAATTCATATGAGGTTGTTTTTATGGCTTTTAGAATTTGGGTAAAGCGAAAAATCTTAATCAAGGGAAGTAAAAAACACATGGCAGCTGTAACTACAGAAGAATATAAGTAATCCTTTAATGTCCTTAATAGCAGAGTCAACAATTTTGAAGATATTCAATTGTTTCTTTTGACAATCTCTGTTTCAGCATAATATTAAAGTTTCTGATGAACTCATTTATCGTATCTGTTTTCTAATGACAATCTTATTGATACAGGAATACATATCAGTTGAATGAAACTTACAGCTCATCTTCATGTCGTCAAAACTGAAGTAGAACACTGACCTACTTTCGAAACTCTTTGTAAGTTTTAAAAAATATTAGTCGAACTTTGTGATAAATAAGATTGCACGGATATGATAAAGAACAAAGCAAGTGTGGATTAAAAAATGTATCAAGTTTATAAAGTATCATTGACATGACTATAAGTACGTTAACTTGTCGAAAGCTCTCAGAATGCGTCGCTTTATCGATACGCTCTGCGTTAAGTTCCGCATCATTGCTCGCGACTGGAGCGCTCCAATAATTTTATTCTTTACGTACAAGTGTAATAAATACTCATCTCATTTTTCAGCAAATAATTTTACACTTTTTAGTGAGTTGCGTGCCATATTATTATTGTGTAAATGTATGTATCGGCAATACAGAACTTAGTGAACTATAAAAACAAACATTTCTCAACATCCAAATACAATTTCAACGAGACATGAGGAATGTTACAGTTAATAGCAAAATTTAGTACATTTGTGTACAAATATTATTCAATCTTCAATACTGGTTTCACGCACTAATGATTACTCAAAATATTTTCAAATATTAAATAGATGTATATTATGTTATATGGGAAATTTTTAAATTAAACCTAGACCAATAACTCGAGTTGACATAAAATTGACCCTCGTTGCATGTGATTTTTTAAGAATACATTTTACGAAAAGTATATAGACCTCTGTATAACTGACAATGAAACTCGATTTAAATGCTTAAAATCACACCTAGCAAAAGAAAAAAAGTACGAGATCGTAATCTTCAATAGGACCTATTGTAATTTTCGACGTATGAACGTCTTTAAGGATCAGGACTAAATATTGGCATAGACGAGCCACAAGCCGATCGCCGTCCATATCACGCATTCATATACTTAGACGTCGTTCCGATCGCAAATGAGGGACTGGGCCGAAAGATATGCGCGTGCAGCGCAGAGATTCACTCACCAAATCGTCGTTGAGCGTAAAGTACATTTGTGCCGGTGGCCTCGACAATGGCATGCTGCAGTTGGCCCTCAGAGTCTCTCCAGGCTCGTAGCGGTTGCGTTCCGAGGCGAGGACAGGCTTACCCTTCGGTATAGCTGAGAAAAGGCAATAATTTGTCAGTTCAGAGGCGAAGATTCGAGCTCGCCCACGGCGACGTGCCATCCAAAGGCCGGTCGTACTTGGCGGATAAATGATTGCCAAAATATGCCATACTCACAAACGACACTGAGGGTTTTTGTGCTGCTAGCCGTGGAGAAAGTCGGCGCATCGGTGGTCACTTCGCAGCTGACGTTGCCGGCCAATTGAAAATCGACGTTCCGAATCGTCACTTGGCTCTCGTTCGACAGCTCCGGCTGAAAAATTACATTACTTAGACTCTATGCATTTCAGTCGATACGCTCGTTAAAGACAAGATTTATCAACTCACGTCAACATCGATCCAAGAAAAGTTGAAGATCTTCGTCGAGGGATTTTCGCTGGGTGAATATCTGTAGAATTCAAAGGAGCCCCGGTAGTACTTGAGCGAATAGAGGGGCGCCTCCTCTAATTCGTAGAAACACCTGAGCGTCGCTTCCTGGCCTTGCTCCACTGCCTGTGGGCTTACTTCCAGTCTAACGTTTTTCAAACATTTTGCACCTAGAACAAACAAGTGAAAATAAAAGTCACACGATGCTCACGTGAATAATTAAGTAATTAAATCATACTTTTTGTGAGCAATCAAAGTTTCCAAGAAACGTACATCATTGTCATCAAAAATCAAACAATAGTCACCAGTTTAAAATGAAAAAAAAAACAAAAACTAACTATACTGAAATGTAAATAGTCCTTTTTCAATTATTTCAAGTCTTAAAATAAAAAATTCAAGTCTTTTTTACAATTGAAATCCGTTTCAATATACTAATAAAAAATGAGTAAAACTGCTCTTCTTATACTCCAAATATCCGAAGAGGTAGAAACGTGAAAAATCTTGTTAATTTATTCTTCAAAAGTTTAGTCCGGCAATTTTTAAGCTTTTATTTTTTTATTCTCCAGGGCGGATTCTATTTTAATCAAAATTTACATTTATTTTTGTGATTGTTTTATTCCAGGTTAATGAAGTTGAAATAGCACATCGTTATTTTTGCAGTTTTGAATAAACTTCACTCAACAAGAAAAGCATCGTTGCATTTAATGATTTAAAAAGGATAATACCAAAAGGAAATCGCAGGTAAAGCTATGATAACGCCATTAAAAAGCTTCGAAGTGCTACTACAGCTAAGCCTAAGAAAGGTCTTTATCGCAGCTTTTTTTAAGACTTTTTATGGTTATGCCCCTTCCATGTTCATGTATTCATTTGATGTTGTCGCCTGCTCTACGCCACCAAATAATCTTTTCATTTTCAAACAATATGAACTAACGCATACATGTGTTTTTCAGTTTATAGAGGTAATTTACCTCGTTCACATTTTCGCTATCTTGGGATTACATAAGCCGCTGTAACGTTGTTAAACTGCTGTTAAACCAACCCTGATTAAATGACTTTACTTCCAACTTCAATTAAAGGCTAGAGATGCAAACACTCGGATTTTTATAAACAAAAAAAGGTAAATGTATGAAAATAGATGCCATGGAGTAAGACCTTTCATCATAAAATGAATCGAGCGTAAGTCTAAGAGTATGAGCTGAGGGAGTGGTGGTACAAATCAAGACTTTAATCATCTGTCCTTTTGTGCTTTACCATTGTTTTTATTTTTTCAGGCGTAAACTACCCTACAAGTTCAGCCTTGGCGCATAACGAAGCTGTGCCTTTAGTGGAATCAATTGCGTGATTCAAAAAGGAATCCATCCTCTTGGCTCTTTTTGCGAAGCTCACGCAGCTTCTCGCACTGTTGACCTCGATTTTTCGATAATGCGATTCTCAGGCGAAATCGTAGCGGCAATTAGCGCGTCACGATTGACAAGTTCACCTCGGTTGTTTTCAGCTTTATCCAGAGACTCGATCGCTCAGTTTTCCCTTCTTGGCGAGTCCGCCACTCGATGTTTTTTCGCGCCAGAGAAATGGCGCGAGAGCAGATCGAGAGTCGAGAAAAACATTTACCGCCTTCGGGACAACTGGAGCTTTCGGCTGGAGGCAAAAAGCACGAGAATCGCTAGGAGATCTCTCGAGGCTTTCAAGCCCCCAGCTGGATTTACGGCGGAGGCGTGTATTATGTACAAAAGGCACAGGAGAGCTGCTGCGGGGCCGGAGGCAGTCATGTCGGCCTCGACTCCTTGAATATTCCGATTAAAAGGGGGGAACAATAGGAGCCGGGGCGTCTTGCAGTGTCTGCTTTTCGTGGCTTGTACGTGGCTCCAACGTAGCCTCGACGTGCTTAGGTGCTGTCCATGCGAGGCATTGCCAGACTGACCCCATCGGCAGACCATCCAACCTTTCGTTCTCATCCATTAGACACTTTTCAAGAGCTAATTTATCGGGAAATTCTTTTTATCTGCTAACGGATATCCGACAAAATCTTTGTTTACATCTCGCAGAATCATGTATTCGAGCATGTACTTGTTTCCCTAGTAAGAAGCCAATAAAAATTCCCGACGCACCACAGGGAATATCCGTTACACTCTGTCCTTACACAACCCTGCAGCGACAACTCTGCACTACAAAATTCTTCATTCGTAGAGACAGCAGCACTGAACAAGTTTCGTATTATTTGTTTTTATAAGTTTATAGGGTAGGATCACCTACCTTGGAAAGTAATTTCAATATAGATTAACAATCAATCTTTCCACATAATCAAACGGCTACAGCCACGTTTATTGATTATCAAAACGTGATATTTGTTTGTCAAGGACTATACAATGGATATATAATTTTTTATTAATCTAAATATTTGTTTAGATGAATAAATCTCACAATTATACATATAAGTTTCAATGATAATTACATCATCTAAGCTTAACAAAGCTTAAGATATTTCTTAGCAAACAAAGAATAATTTAAGAAATCCGAATTATCAGCTGTGCGATCTACAACACTCCATCAAGAACATGGTATTAATTACTTTCTACTTACTTAGATCGATTGACTAGATTTTTTTATTCGTACAATTATTTATGCATGCAGCATCATGTACACTTTCTATACTCGATACTTGTATCGATCTTGACTTTTGTGCAATATACATATATTAGACAAAAGAGGGATAGAAACAGATAGAGAGTTCTCATCTGATTCTCATGTGCGAAAACGTGTAGAGATCCTTCGATAGAACGACAGCCGTTTAATAAAAGGTGACTCGAAAAAAGCAGAAAATACTTTCAAGGCTTAGGTGCACGTATGTACGATAGACGCTTTGCTTCCTCTTCTCTTTGCAAAGACGAATGAGGGCCGACAAGAGTCTAGAAATACCAAAGATAAGGAAAGAGAGAAAAAAATGTAGACAAAAGAATCGAGTCTTTTCCCTGGAGTAACAATCGTTGGATTTCTAGGGAATCTCCTTTCCTACGATATTTTTTTTTATCATTATCAAATATAGATAATTTAAAATATCATGTCATTAATAATAAAATGAATATTGCACCAAATTAAAAAAATAAGCAGAATAATCCAATGAAAAGAAAATTACCAGAGAATAATACCAATTATTGCAACAATTTTCATTAATATTAATTTAAGTGGGGGTGCCATACACAATTGATAGTAATGTTCTGTTTTTAAAAATAATATTGATATGACTCATGTGACGAAAAAATAACCTATGAATTATCTGAAAAAATAATGCGATGGTATGCAGCGTCGATGACTACACGACTACATAATGTCGATCATAAAGTTGGTCGAAGTTTCGTGCGCAGTAGCGGCGAAGACAAACGACGCATTAAATTGATTAAGTTTTTGCGCGCCGCCGAGGAGACAACGCGTTGATGTTGCGAGCGATTTATATATTACCAGCAGCAGCAGCTACTGGCATAACAGCACTAGCTTGGGTTGGGCTCCTGTCCACTTTTCATGCCAATTACACGGGGCGTGTGCGTGGCCCAACTGCAGCAAAATGATTAAATTTTAATCAGCTAATGGTGCTGTGTAAGCTGCGACTTTTACACCGATAATGCCTGGATTTGGAGCGAATCGGCAAAAACATTTAATGCGCCGCTCTGCACGTGGCTAATTGGCCTCGCGGTTATGTCGACGCTGTTTTGACTAAAGACGACATTTTAGTGGGCCGTCGATGGGGAATTAAAAGCGGCTCGATTTCATATTCACACAAGAGCTGCTGCCACTAGAGTCGACCGAGCAGTCGAATCGATCGGCTGCGCATCAGCTCGGCCGCGTCATGAATATTTCACCGGCTACCATATCGCACGATGTAACCTGGAATCGCGACGGTGTAATGTCTTTGCCATTGATATGCTGGTCGAAGCGATCATTTCCCGAAACAGCCACTGATTTTCAGCTACTCGAGTTGAGATTTTTACGCTCGTGTAAAACTCGTTTCTCCTGCGAGACGCGACAACATCAACGCCTCGTCCGAAGAGTTTACACCGTCTATCAATTTTCAAACTCGCACAAGTCGAACGAGAATCGGACTCGACAAAAATGCCGGAAATGGGCGTCGCATCGAATACCTCGAAATATTCGAGCCTCTAAAAGCGCCCATATCAATTAATGAGCTCGTCGCTCGGGCCAAGTGGAGGAATCGCGATCCACTGCGAAAATTAACATTTTAATGGAAAAGTTGCGAGTGCGGCTCGATGGCTTTACGTGGGTTACGCGAGTTCCAGGATTAATGCGCCGATGCAAAAATAAAGCGGATTATGTTGCTCCGAGTACTTATCGAAATCTCATCAGCGTCGCTCAGCCGGCTCAATTCCGGGCGAGAAAAAAAACAAAAGAAACGAGATTCGAGCGGTGTAGGTACACGTGTAAGGAGTCGATTTTCCGCCTCGATGCCGATCCGTCAAAAGTCGCGACGACGCCAAAGACTAAATGGGCGAAACTAAACGAGGCTGGAGGGAAATTGAATCATTTCGTCGGTCGAGTGTGGACAGCCGAGTCGGACACGGACATCGAGAGCAAATAACAGTCGGACATGCTCGCCTACGCGTCTACGCGCAGATGCATCGGAGCCGCGAGTCAATCATCGAGTCATCTCGTTGGATGGTTGGCAAAGTGCAGAGGAGGTGCAGCAGCTGTTGCCGCAACGAATTTCGGGCTGATTTTGCGGCCCCTCCGCACGACGCATAGTTCAGCAGCGATACTTTATATGCCGCACGACTGCAGCTCGACTCCGACGTCGTCGCACGTGTGTGTAATACTCCCGCTATAGTCGACTCATATAAGTATAAGAGAACCACAAGCGGCGACGATTTACGAGGCGGGAAACGACGGCTATGCTGTGCTGTGCTATGGTGGGGGCAGCAGCAGCCACTGCCATGACTGCGGTTCGTCCACGCGAGGCGCCTAACGCCTTGCGGTCTTGTACGTGTGCCTACGCGTCTGCATGTGTGTATGTAGCTGTGCGTCCCATAAGCCGGACCATCGTCGTGCGGTGTCGCTGTCGCAGAGCCGCGCAAGGGGACACTTTCGATGTTTCTCGCACTTGTTTTCTCGCTCCTTTTTGCTTTTGTTCCGGAGCTGGAGTCATGCTTCACGTGCTCCAGCTCACGGGGACTTTTCGCATTTTCATCGCCGATAGCGAGTCGAGGTGGCGATTCAGCTTCTGTATTTCTCATTTTCGGAAGCAATACCGAGAATCTCGCTGTAGCTTGGTCGCATCGCCCCAACCGCTCGATCAGCTTCCCCCCGGGCTCGGATAGTCCCGAAATAGGCCTCGGCTTCGCCGTAAACGTCGTGTTTGCGGAGCGTCCGATTCGATCAAAAACTTCGTAAAGTTGCCAGTCGGGCTAAGCCGACGTTATGAGCCGCGCTACGATCATAATTAAGAGTTTGGAGGGTCATTTTTCGGAACTTAGCCGCGCGATGACTTATACGATTCGAGTACGCCAATATCTACGGATGAGCAAGCAAGACTGATGAGCTTCGGCTTGTCAGCGTAAGGTTTCCTGAGCCCGTTTCACTCTTGACTGCAACAAATCGTTCCCCGCCTCAACTTTGCTCGTCTTAAGTGTTACATGTTTTATTTTGGTCTTTACAATAAGTATTGTACGATCTTCCCGCTCTGCGGTATTTTTAGATCGTCGTAGGGGTACTTAAAGATACAAAAATTCCAAAATCAGACATTTTTGAATTTTATTATTTTTTCTCATAACCGCGTGTGAGTGTTTCATTCATCTTCGACTCAGTTAGTGGTAAAATCAATAGCAAGTATTATTTAACTAATGATACATTAAGTAAAAAGCAGTATCATTTGAATGCACTGTCATAGATATCTTGTGAGAATTAATGCATTTAATAATGTTAAAAAATATTACATTTTTGATCATTGAATTGAACTCATTGTTTATTATAATCATTATGGAAAAAACACTATTAATATTTGAACAAAGAATTTCCCCCCAAAATATGTTCCGTCTTGTACTCTTACGTCTATTTATTAAAAATGTATTAAAAATTAATAGTAAGTTGAAGGCGATACTGAGTTATCAAACTCGAAGGTGTCAAATAAATAAACTTAAAATATGTTATCAAACATGATATCAGTTGCATGTAAATCGAGTATTATATTTCAAAGGAATTCAACTGTTTACTTTTCGATAGCCGTCGCTAAAGTTGATTAAAAGGTATAATATTCAAAAATGGTCACGTGCAAAGCCTCTTGGAATTCTCTTACGCCCCTTTCCGGTTTTTCAAACCGATACAAACTTCTCGCGTTACTCTACGGAATCCGCCGCGCACTTTTATGCCTGTCAAAATTTCAAAAATAATATATACGCGCACCCACGCTTCTGACACGCAAGATAACATTAGTCTTTACCCTATACAGCAGCAGTGACTAATGGTTCTATTGCCGTATATATAGAACCTTTTTTATACAGTGATATATTTATGCTTTCGTATAAGTGTGCGTCCGCGAAATGTATAGAAGTAGCGGAAAGAAACATTCGAAATTCAAATAAAACCAAAGAAAGAGGAAAAACATCGTACAGTACTCCAAAGCTCGAATTGATCGTTAAATTAAAAGTACTGCCGTCCATTTAGATAGCCTCAAGCTTCTTTGCCGACTTCATTTCGCTTCTGTTATAGTAACGAGAAAATAAGTGTTTGATTTTAATCATGGGGTCAATCCGGTAGAATTTCCTTTCCAAACTTTTCTCTCGTTTTAGTAGGTTGAAACGAAGTCGTCTTTACTACTCGAGTGTGTATTTTGATTGCCAAGTAAGAGTGTGAGGAAACTGCGCGACAAAACATACACATAGTGTCACCGGTCTGGCTGAAATTTCATATGCCCGTCACGGACAGGAGAATTGTGCGAAAAACTTGGCCTCACTTACAACAATGAGTGGACAGGATGCGCTCGGCCTCTTGTACATAGCAGATGCGTGAGATGTTTTTTACATCGTGTTTACTTTGTCATAATACGAGTTAATATTTATCATAAAATTATTTTAAAAAAAATACATAATATTGTGTTTGATGAACTATTTTCGTATCTTTTTCTGTAAAAAATATTATCCTTCTTACATTTTTAACTTTGTCTATATATTGAATTCGTTTCTTATATCGCAGATCATATGCACGCCCCCTATCACTTTTGTCAAGTTGCGCTTCTCGAAGTTCATTGCACGTGTCTCTCGTTCGTATATAAACTTAGATTTAAAATTCAATCGGCAAGTGAATATGATGACTTCTCCCGAAAAACAACTAAAACAATATAGATATTTAAAGTATATTCAATAAAGCTCATTAATTTGAAACCTCTTGTAATTAATAAAATTAATTTTCTTCATTTAGTTCCATTATTGCTTTTAGATTTTAGCTTTGGTCTTTTCAATTTTCTTGGAAAAAATTGTAGAATATGTTTCTCAGAAAGTACAAATTCATTCATTTAAATCAGAATCAGTGTGTGCATTGAAAATAATGTTTTTAATTTTTCTTCAATATTGAAAAAAAATCAGTGTTTGCGAAAAAAAGAATCATTAGTTAACATGGTGAAACTTACCAGTTAAAATTAAAGCAATAAAAGTTAGCTCCAGCCAAACTAATCTAGGCATTATTGTCGGCGACTGAAACTCTTGATTCTTCAGAAAAGTACACTCGACGAAAGCTCCAACATCGATGCCTTTTATAACTCGCACGCACTCATATCACTGCAATTCACCACACACCAGCTGAAGTCACACATATTCGAAATCGTCCAAGCTGAGTTTCGAGAGAACGTCACATTATCACAGGCGCGTGTCTGCAGGCCGACATACACACACACACATAGAGGATAAGGGACACGAGGAAAGTCGGCGCGCGCCCGTGAGCGGGCAAAATGAAAAATCGAAGAAATTGAGCGACACACTCGTGCCGGGCATACGATACTGCCAGAACTAATACAAGCGAGAAACGTGCGAGCCTATCAAAGTTGTTGCGAGGCGGCGAGGAGGCGAGCTTGCGCGCATGAGCTGACGCGCTCGCTGTAGCATCGTGTATAGCGACCACCGGCAACTCACTGGCTCTGCGCTATATATCCCCCACTTTGAATCGCGATCAACGACCACACGGGTTTTATATATACGTAGCTTTGCAGATTGCTTTTCGTAACTCCCGCGCGCCCGAGCGGGTGCTTGTTTCTTTTTCGCTGACTTAACCATCCACTGCCATAAAAGGAAGATTTATTGCGCTTTCATTCGGGATGGCCTGGCGGCATTAAATAAATCTTGCGTGAGCCGATGAAAATTACTTAATCAACTCGTCAAATTTGATTAAAAAATAAATCTTGTAATCAGATTTAGAAGAATGCAGTGATATTATACTTTCCATGATTGCGTGTAAAAAAACGACACTGCATACCAGTTTTTCAAAAATTGTTTATTAAGTGAAATTAGTGAGTAGCTCGCGTACATACGTTTTACGGACATTTTTCTAACATATTTTAATTTTATTTTAATGATATATTAAGAGTCGTCACTTAAAATCCATCTGTCTTAGCGTAATAAATGGACGAGTGTATTTATAAATTTATATATCGACGCACATCGTAAAAACTAAAAGCGAATAGATGTAAAATAGATATGCGTCTTTTCTCAGTATGAAACAGGCACTTAAACTTTGTTTCCTAAAAAGTAAAAGTAAAAATCTTCACCAACACGTGACTTCTATCTATTCTTGCGCAACGCAACTTCGAGAATCAAAATACTTCTTTATTCTTTTTCGCATTCCTGTAGATTTTTTTGCCACTCGCACGTGATTTCTCTATTTCGGAAGCGCGTTGGAGAAAAGAAGGAGTTGGCAGGCGCTCGACGCACACATTGAAATATCGCAAGAATATCAGTCCTCGCGCAGGGACTTGATAGCTCGTTTGTCGAGTCGCAAGAGCTGACTGGACGTCCGAAAGCGTCCTCCATTTCCCGACGCCGCCGCTGGACCCTTTGAAAAGATCCTCGGCTATATATTCCTTTTTTCCTTTGGCCTTTTTCTCCGTATAGTACGTCGCCGACACCGACTCGGCGTCGCTTCCTGTGCCATCCAACGCGAGCAGTTATGTGCCTCTTTATATGCGCCTCTCCTCAAAGTCACACGCATCTACGCAACGCAAAATTCACAATATTCTCGCCTCTTGATGATCCTCCCTCTCTCATGACCAGAAGCTGTTAACCCACATAAGCAACTTATATAGTCTGCGCAGATCGTGGCTTTGTGCTCGGCCCGAAAACATCTCGGACGAAAATCAAATTGTTTCTCGGCTTGTTGTTTTCACCTCTACTGGCTGCAGTGCTGGCGATACACGATTCTTTCGGAGCAATAATAAATTAGCCGAGTTGAAAAGAAACTCATTGCAGCGGCCAAATACGTGTGCCCGCCTCGAGCTTCGCAGCAGCTAAATAATCGCGTACACAGCTCGAGCCGTCTTACAGTCTCACAGTCTCTCTCTCTCTGGCGCATTTCCCTCCTTTTTTCCAACTGCTCCTTTCCAACTCGCTCCTACGTCCGCTCGACTATTTTCTGAGCTGGGGCAAGAATAAGTGCTCGCAGACCTGCCTCGCGCCGGCGTAACTTATGTCGAAAAACTCGCAGCAGCAGCCCCGCTACATGCGAAAATGTGTGCTCTTGTCGTACACAAGGACTCGTACAGCCAAAGGCCTCAGCTTTGCCGCCGTCGAATCCACCAAGCAGGCAAAAGTCAAGAGGTCATTTTTTTACTATCGAGTAACTGTTACTGTGTGCAGCCAAAGTGATCACGGACAAAGGCAACTTCGCGCATAAATTGTGCATACCACGTGTGGTGTCTCTTTTTCTTCGTACCTTTTTATAGTTTTTATAGTTTGCAACTGGTATATTTAAAAAAACCGAGTGCATTTTGTTTTGTACATAAGCTACAGAATATTCAACAGAGTTGATGTTAAATTTTGTTCAGCGTTCTATACTTTTACCCCAACCTCAGCATATCTTTGAATTTTACCAGATATGAGGTTGTGAATACGGAATATGGGTACAAAATTTTATTATAGAAATTAACAAACAGCAACGAACAGTTTTCTATTTTCTATAAAAAGTGCTACAAAAAAAAAATTGAAAGCATAGTATGTACTTTTTTTTAATATATTATATCCTTGTAGTGTCATGCTTTTCGTCAATACTCAGTCTTTCAGAAAAAATGTACAGTGTATTCGGGTACATACGAGCGCAAGTCATGTACTCTTCTGTTTGCAGAAACTAAAAAGTTTCGGGGAAAGTTTTGCTGGTCATCACTTCAATGTGCGCTCTACAATTTGCATAATGAGCATGGGTTTCTCGTTTAAAGGCCGAAAAATTTTTTTTGTATGCATCGTCACTTAGAAAAAGATTCGACGAAGTCCCTTTGTCGCTGATACATGTATTCGAAGTTACAAGTTTTACACTACATTTTTCCTTTGTAAGTTGCAGCTTACATCGAGAGCCCTTCATCGAAGTTTCGAGAGTATATACGAGCTGCTTTGATCAATCCCCAGGCGTATTTTGGCGCACCTTATTGCAATATAGCTCACGTGACGCAATAAGCAGAGCTTTCCGAATACATCGACGCACTCCAGTCGACTATGAGTGCGTGACACGCTGGTACTACGCGCCTATTTATACATTTTTCATCCCTCGACTGGCTTGGTTTCATCATTTTTGTCGCGAGTTGCGGAGCTTTGAGGCTGCGAGTCGAGTCGCTCATGCGTGTACTCGGCGCTTCGAGCCCCGCTCAGCAGCAGCAGCAGCGGTACTGCGGCGGCGGTTTCGAGCTCGCTGAATGTTAAAAAAAGCCATTCGCAATAGTGCGCGACTGCAGCCACCGACTGATACACTCCATTGACTCCTCCAACCTGAAAGAAGTCCTCGGCTAAGGACATGTTTCATCGACTGTGATGATTGCGCCTACGAGCCACCATCTATGTGCCGATTGAGCTACGACAAAATTCCCGCCAGAAATTTTAGAGACGAGCTTCAACCGGAACCAAACGGCCTTTCCACCTTAATCTTCCAGTCGATGATGAGGAAAGCGTCAAGTCCGAATTGGATTAGCAAAGAGACTATCGTTCTTCAATGACCAAACTTTTTCTATTAAAAGCATAATAGTTTTCTCGAAAGTAAAAGTTCCTTTTCCTTCATGCACGAATGACGAAGAACAAAAGACAAAGGCGGAAAGGTCGGCCGATGTATCTCCATGCAAGAGTAGACTGTTACTGTTTTACAGTGACTTCGTCGTCCTCAACCGTCCAAGGGAACTTTAAACTTTTTTCCTGTTGTTTCGGTGCTCCTCTCCGGAGAGTAACTTCCAGACAAGTCGAGAAAAAAGCTGCTTGCCTAACCAAACGATTAAACCAATACGTAATTCAAATTGTTTTTTAGCAGCTTTTTAAAAGAACCAAAGATTTCCTCGTTTTTTTCTAAATTATTTCGTCACTGTAAAACATTGTCTGACAACGAAATATAATTTTGTTATGGAAAATACACATACATTTTGTTCTGTGAGTCGCGATCTTTATTAGCGATGTCGAAGTACTCTTTCAATATTTTACGTTTCAACTATGATGAGAATGTAGATTCATTTACAGCATACGCATTTCAGATTAATATTTGAAATTGCTATCGGTCGACTGCATAACACATTAAAATTAGTGCTAATTACCATACACAAAGAACATTTATTGATCAATGCGAGCAACACGCAGAATCGATAATCGCAAATCGCTCATAAATAAAAGTAGTACGAATAAAATTATAAGCCTCACGCGAAAAATATATTCGCGAAATTGTTTGACGCTTTCAAAAAATTTGCCCAGAGCTTTCGAAATATTTAACTCCAATTGTCCGGCGATTTTGAGAGAACAGTTGAGCGAACTTAATCGAAGCCGTGCATATAGTGAAGAGCGATGAACTGGAATATTGATAGCGTCCGCATGAGAGCGAGTCAGAAAGGGATAGAACCAAATTGAGATGTATAGGCGAGTAGAAAAAAATCTGCCTTGGTTATTGTCGCAGGTAAAAAGTTTCAAGGGTACGAAAGACAAGAAGTCGTGATTTTATCGAATACATTTCATAGTTAAAGCTTTGTTTTGACGAAGCAAGCTGCGGTTGCTATTTATTGTTCATTCGCCATATCATTAAATTTAAAATGTCATTAAACTTCAAAAATGTACGAGAAGCATTTCATTATTTTTAAATTTCATGCGTTGTTTTATAAACTGATGATAACACGCACATTGGCCGTGTCAAACACGTGACTACAACTGCATAAAAACTGATGTACCTCGCAGATATCTTCATGGGGCTTTCGCTACTTATAAAATACGTCAAACGCACATAAATGTACGCGCGCCGTGCATCGAATAACTCACGTTTGCGATAACTCGTTGTTATATTGCACGTGACAGTCTGTATTAATTTTAAAACACGCGCATTACACGAAAATAAGACGTAACAGGAGCGCGAAAAATGTGAAAAAATATAGTTAATTCAAATGTGTAAAAACGAAAATTTTCGGTTTTCTATAATTTACTTTTAAATCAACAATCAAATACACATTGTAAAAAACATAATAATTTGAGTTTTAAGCTTAAGTAAGCTGCCAATACTGTTAGACTTTCTTATCGATTATAAAATCAAATTGAATATCTGATTTTTTATTTTTTGATAGTATTGTATATCATTTATAAATGAAAATGCAACTAAGGCGAAACAATGATATTTTTGAATAATCGAATGAGCTTAATTCCAATTTATTTGTTTCATCGAATACTAAGCTACGATCCTCTTGCATTTGACATATGTTACTCCACGTTATTTGAACTGCACAAGCAAGATTGTCGACAGGCATCAAAGG